GGGCAAAGAAAGCGTAGAAATTTAACCAAAAAATTATGCATTTAGCCAGGATGGAAATAAACTATGGGATAAATTGCCTTACGAAGTAAAGCAATTTATCCCAGCGTAGAGCGGCTGACTAAGCATAAACTTTTTTGAGTAAATCATTAAATAATTTCCTTGTTGTCTGAAAAGCATTTTTCAACCAGCTACGTAGCAACATACAGGGCCAGTTATTGAATTTAATAAATTGAATTAGCGGATGATGCTAGGGTTAAATTAGTTTACAAATAGTTTCTCAATCAGTTATAAACAGAAAAGCTTTACCATGGGAAACAAAAGGTGCAACAATGACTTTTAAGCCAAGTGATAGTGATTGGGTGCATGTTCAAGGCCACCAACTTGACCCATATTTCGCTGAAAATGACTTAATAGTCGCCCACGCAAAATAAATCTTACTTGCGGCGTATCAAGATCAAGTCTGCAATCTCATTTTAAGCTAATAAACTAAAACAATGACGGCTATTAAATAGGATAAAGTAAAATCGACTTATTAAATAGCTAAAAATGGATTCGATTGTACGATATCGGCGAAACGTTTGGGAATGCACCCAGCCAATGGTCCAATGCTGGAAATCATGAATATTATGGCAGAGGACACGAAACTAAGTACGTTCTATGAGGCCTCCATGACGCTCCAATAAGTTTGCGAAAACAAGGTCGAACCAGCACTAAAAATGAATTCGTTTTGTGATAAGGCCTTTTTTGTAACGATCGAATCGGAATAATCTAGGTACAAAACGAAGATCCAAACAAGTAAAAGCATATTTCTGATATAAGTTGTTTTCAAGGTTACGAGTAATTCTTGAATAAGAGCTTAGTCATTCTAGGTCGCATAAGGTTGACTTAGTTCTTATTCAAGAATTGCTGATAGTCTCATGAACTAAGTATATAAAAAACAAGCAACTTTTTCTATTTCAATGACAAATAAAAATTCGGTTAATCGACATTCTCACAAAAAAATGTTAGTTAGAAGAGGTCTGGCTTTCCTTTAACGTCCTATCTGCCCTGTGACCCACTAGAACCCATGACTGTGTAGTAGACTAAGTGAAGTTTAATGACATCGCGAAGCCCACTCATCTTATCGTGAGAAAACTCAATTATCAGATCTTATACGATTTAGAGTGATTATGCTCCTAGTAAAAACATAATCAATCTTGTATTCTGTATAGAATAACCCATAAAGCCATATTTTTAATTTAAATGGAAGTAATAGCCTCGAGATTCTCTGTGATCGGATCGTAATTATTCTCCATGTTACAGTTCCAATATACAGTCTGGGTGCAAATAGATGAGAGCATCAAGGCCTTTCTGGATTTAAAAGAAGGTATAGACAGGGTTAGATAAGGCAAAGCAATATTTGTCCAAAAAACTTTGCGATATTTTACTACATAGAGTGCAACGATTCCAAGAGTATCAGGTCTTTAAGTATCCAAAGCGACCTTAGATAATCTAGTTCCAATCAAAAAGAGGGGTTTTAGTAAAGTTACCAACTGTAAAACAATTAGGATAGGACATGCCTGCCTTGAAATTAAAGACTGCCTTATAACTAAAAGGCATTACGAGTGTATTGTCAAGTATTAGTGTGCTTCCCAATTAACACTACAGTTGCTGGCTTGGGATTACGTGGGAGTGAAGGATAAATGATAGTTGAGCGCACTGGATGAACGCTCATTTTTAAGAAGTATGGCGGAATCCGGTCCTGGATTTACTTATGTATGGTCTAAAGCAACATTTGATTAGTCGTTAATCTACGAAAAAAACAACTTTTCCATCATGCTGTCCCTTAGGATATTTTATTATTCACAAAGATAGAGTAATTTAAAAATGAAATATATCCGGCCCAATCGATGTTTCGTTTACAAGTAGATTTTCAAAAAAACTAATAGATCATTTATATACAAAGTGTATTAACCATATTTCGTTTAAGGTGGTAAGGGGACTGGTAGTAGGGACTCGAAAATCTACTTATAAGCGAAATATATGTAAGTTAGCCGATTGTCACGACAAATACAACTTTGCTTCATTGACAATGCCACCACAGAATGTGCAATTGGAAAATGCTTAGCCTACCTTGAAATTCACATCTGTTCTGCGAACCGAAGATATTCATGATAATGTGGGGTAAAGGTCAGCGTGTCGAGACTATACGCTGCACTGTCATGGTTCGAGTCCCGCTGAGGGTGATGATGAGATCTAGGCGAGGTCGAAGCTTCAGTCCATCCTGGATAAGAATAACTTTTGGGAATGCAAGGCTATGAGGAATTCAATGAAAACGTAAGGTCTACTCATAGCATTGTGGGAAAATTCAATTACCAGTCCCTTATCACCTGAAACGAAATAGTGACTACACTTCATGTATAAATGATCGACAGGTGGTCTCGCAAACCTACTTATAAATGAAAAAAAGTTGCCAGTAAGTGACTTACAATTTATTTAGAGGTATGCCTATTTGGTGTAAGTATTTTTTAGTTTGCTGCAAAGTAGCATTAAACATTTGAATTCAGGGAACCGGTTCATCCGTTGGGCGTGATGATCGCATATGTGAGGCTATGGTAGTCTAAAGTTTAAAATAATTAAGCCTACTTTAACTTCGAGTAAAAGTGTTTGGTGCTTCATATAGTATATGCGAAGAAAAGTTGGGTCTCAAGGAATCTCTTAGTTCATAACTGTCGAGCTTACTTCCATTTCGAATAAGATTTTTTGATGAAGAGATTTGAAAGGTTGATCCAAAGGCGAATTCCTCTTGCCCAGCTGCCAATTGGCTTTACTAAAACATTCTTTTTGGCACTGTGTCCTAGGGAATCCTCTTCGATTCCGGCGAAAACGTCCGTCGTATGACGGACATCATCCGTACAGAGTATCATCTTTATTACCATATTCAAGCTAGCGAATAAAGAAAGATCACCGGCTAATCCTTGAATGCTGTATATACTCAGTGAGTCTTCTTGGCTCGTTAGCTTAAATATGATTGTAAGGATGATACCAACTTCTCGGTTGATGTTCGTCATACAACGACTAAAGCTTAGCCAGTCTGCAGTGAAATCGAGAGATCGCCTCGGAAACAAGACCAAAAGAATGTTCTAGTAAAGATAATCACAACTGGACAAGAGGAATATGCCGATGTCTTCTGGTAGGGACAAGCTTCAAATCTCTTCACCAAACACTTTCATCCAAAATGAAAGTAAGCTCAACAAGTATTAAATCACAGACTCCTCTAAACCTAATTTTTATTTAATCGAAGATATGAAGACCAAGATGGTGTGGCCTATTGCATGGTCGTGGCCTCCCTTTATTGTAGAACAGTTGTTTGACCTTGTATTCCAACTTGATTGTATTGGCAGGAAGACCTAGAGGAACGCACCTAGTTTGGAATCCATAGTATGCATGATAATTTCCAGTCAGACCGTGGACTTGGTACATTCCCAGACGTTTAACCGGCATCTTAGTCAGCATCGTCAGTGAGTCTTGCCAGCCTTAACACCACACTACAACTCGTCAGAAAGGCGAGTAAATAAATGTTTAAAGCAATTCTCCTATAGCTAACATTCGTTAGCACGTGAGTAGTTTGCGATTTGGAATGTACGGATTCTTTATACAATCTACACTTTTTCAGTCTTCTTAGCAAAGTGGCCTGAAAATCGCAAGATTTTTATGAATTATCTTTTTAATTTGTCTGTTATTTGCGTGGCTATTAATGTATTCGAAGATAGACGAATTTTTAAACTTTAGACAAAGAAAAGTTAGTATTCGTTTGGCCCTGTTTTCGCAACTTGGTCGTATTGGCAGAAAGATCTAGAGGAACGCACTTCCTTCTTTTTTGAGCTATCCGCCTATCCTATATCCTCGTACCACCCATTCACTATCACAATTTCTTAATTGCTTATTTAAATGTGGTATGGTGTGCCGTTTTGAGTGGAGTTTACGAGACCTCTTCACGCCAGACACTGGCTTCCCCACCCCACCCAATTAACATTGTGTTGGGAACGTTGATCTGAATCTGCTATACTATTCCAATAAGTCCAATCAGAGTATGCATCTTTACCCGTAGGATCCGTCTCCTATCTTTCTGTTTCAGCTATTCCACTCAAACATTTTCATTCTATTTGTGCTACTCCAGGAGTTATTACCCACCCCTACCTCGAGCCTTTGATTGCATGTATACTCCTGCCTCGCTGAGTAGGACAACAAAGTCTGGATTCTCAAGTTGGATGGGAGACTAACTTGAGGCTATAAATCCCGATTAATTCCTATTGTCAAGCGCAATGATAGGAGGGTGGGGTGAGAAGAGGTCTTATGAAATCCGCTCAAAATGGCACACCATACCATATTTAAATAAGCAATTAAGAAATTGTGATAGTAAAAGGGTGGTAAGAGGATATAGGATAGGTGAATAGCCCATAAAAAGGGGAATACCACAAGTGTTTTGCAGACAATTGGTCAAAAGATGGACTTCACTTGTCTCTTTAACGAGTTGTAGTGTGGTGCTAAGAATAGCAAGGCTCACTGACGATGCCGATTACGATGTGGGCGAAACGTCTGGGAATATACCACGTTGATGGTCCGACTCTGGAAATGGATGCATAGAATGGAGTCCGGACTTGGTGCGTTCATCTAGGTGGTCCTACCAATACGATCAAGTTGCGAAAACAGGTCCAAATAAATACTAACTTTCTTTGTCTGAAGTTTAAAAGTTCGTCTCTCTCTTCCAATACATCAATGACCACGCAAATAACAGACAAATAGAAAAAAAGAATTCATAAAAGTCTCGTCATTTTCAGGCCACTTTGCTGAGTAGACTGAAAACAGTATGAATTGTATAAATAATCCATACATTCCAAATAGGAAATTAATCAAGTGCTAACGAATGTTGGCTATAGGAGATTGCTATTAAAATGTATGCACCTTGGTTACCTAACCTGTACTTGGCCAATGAATAGAAGTAACAAAACATCTCGCTTCTAATGTGCAGCAAATAAATGAATAGAAATGATGAGGCGTACACTGCCGTTGATAATCTCATCCAAAGACATAAGGGTGCAGCTTTGATCCGGAGATACAGTATAATGCTGTATCCTGCTCTGGCAAGACCCGCCTGATTGGCTACCTGGAGATCTGCAACCAGGTGCAGACGAGTTGGAGTGAGCTGAGATGGAGTACCAAGATAGACAGTTCCGCCGTCGGCAATCTGGTAAATTGGGCGAGGTTCGGCCGATAGAATAATCTGCCGATGTAGCAATGTTGGTATCTACGCTACCTTCGCAATCAGTAATCTTAACATTGCCCAAACTGTTATAAATCCCGCTTTTTGAGTAGGAACAATTAGACTCAATGGCGATTGGGACCGCAGCAGCATTCTTCAACATTGACTCGACAGACTGCGGAAGGGCCTGCGAATTGACTTCGGCCAGAACTTCAGGGGGACTATTTATAGGTTCAGATGAGAGTTGGCCGGTGGGGCGTAGGTTAAATA